TAGAGCTTCAAGAAGGACTGGTTCTATTACCCATTTGCGTAATACAACCACACGGGTAATAAATTCACGAATTCGATGACGTGCTTAATACTAATCGCACATGTTTTGCCTAAATAAAAACGTAACAGAATACACGAGCGTATCTAAGCTCTAATACTACTACTGAGCTGGCGCTATGACCCCGAAGTGGGTCTTGGCCTTCGACAATAAACTTTGCCATTCATCCCGTCGCTGCGCAACACCTTGCCAGTCCGACACTTGGAGCTCCCGTAAATTTCCTTCCACAGCGTCACACCAGCGGTACTTGGGTCTCCCTACGGGGCGGCGTCCCTCCGGTACACCCGTGTACACCCGTTTCACAGCCCGATCCTGCTCCATACGTACTACATGTCCGAGCCATCCGAGCCTCCGTGCCTTAATCTCCCCCAGAATATTTGGCTCACCAAAAAGCCTCTCCACATCCTTATTTTTCCGGACGTGCCAAGAACCGTCTTCTTTCCGAACTGGTCCTAGTATTTTTCTCAATACCTTTCGCTCCGTCACGAGAAGTTTTGCCTCTTCTTTCTGTGGACTGTAAGCTCTAATGATCATATAAAAAATATTTACATACATAATTAAAAAAAAATGTAGTCACTCCATGTTGGTTTGGTAATAAAAACTACTATATCGTATTACTTTTAAGTACTTGAGTCGTCCGTGACCACGAAAACTGGTCAACAAGTCGAAACATCGAAAACAATTGAGTATGCAATTTCGAAAAGGGCACATGTCGCATATTTTGTCAAATACGTTTTTTCATATACATGTAGTTTTGAGTCTTACTTACCTACACTCATTTTATAATAATTCCAGTAATTTTCAATTGCTAATTAACACTAAAATATATCACAAAAGTTAATATTTTAAATTTTACTCTGCTCTAGAAAATAATCAGGCTTTTTTCATTTCCTGAACATTTTACATTTTCAGAGATGTGCCATTTTTCGAAATTGCATATTCAATTAAATTAACAATAAAAAAACTGAAGTAACTGTAACATTAGTTTAGATTAGGTTTGCGACTCGCAAAAACTGTGAGGAAAACTATACATGTGTGTTTAGTTTCATTTTCCTAAATATAAATACAAAAAAATGCTAACTTTTGAAGTGCAAATACCTAACAAGTGCTCGACAATCGTCCGCTAATAAAGATAAACCGGGTTATAGCATTCGTAACAGGCGTGATTCATGCACCGAGCGTTCATTACTAGCTCACTGTGAATACGGTATGACCTAACTATTTTACGATTTAAGCCCTTAATTTGTGTGAGTAACTTCCACGTCGAAAGCGGACGTGCGGTAATGAAGCTATTTACTCTTTAATATGTAATTATTTAGAAAAGTATCTTCTGAACTTTTTTCCTTTTTTATTGCTTAGATGAGTGGACGAGCTCACAGCCCCCTTGGTGTTAAGTGGTTACTGGAGCCCATAGACATCTACAACGTAAATGCGCCACCCACCTTGAGATATAAGTTCTAAGGTCTCAGTATAGTTACAACGGCTGCCCCACCCTTCAAACCGAAACCCATTACTGCTTCACGGCAGAAATACCGTGGAAATATGGCGGTGGTGGTACCTACCCGCCCGGACACACAAGAGGTCCTACCACAGTAAAATTTAATTAAAAAATTAAATTAGATTACGTTGTAAAATAATTAATAGTTCTCTTAACAATCATTGTTCTGTATTCAATTGTGAATTAATAAATTTGAAATAGAACATTTAGAAGCAAATTCATTTAAAAACTGAAAATTATTCTTCTCATTCTATTGCAAGATCATTATTTATTTAGTTATATCTTAAGTTTTCTAATAGATTCCCATAATAATATGTGACAAGTACTTTCGCTGGAAATAGATTATTCTCGAATAGTTTCTAAATTGCAATTAAATTACGAACTAGGATTTAAAATTTTTATTAAACCATAAAAAAATATATGTTAAAATCGATAAAATTACAAAACTTATCGGCCGTATAATGAATTTGATTAGAAATATTAATAAAATTCAATTAATATTTATTCAAGCGTGAAATCAAAACTATGTCGTGTTAATGTGAGTTCTCGTCGATAGCATTGTTTCAGAAACAATATATGAATAATATAAAATGTTTGCGAATACTTATTTGAATTAAGGAAGAGGTAGACCTAAGAAGAAATGGATGGATTGTGTGAAAGACGATACGGGTAGGAGGGGAGTGAGCGAAGAAATGGTATATGATAGAAGAGTATGGAAGGAGCAAACATGTTGCGCCGACCCCAGGTGACTGGGAGAAGGGCAGGATAACGATGATGATGATGACTTATTTGAATTAAGAAAACGTTAAAAAATCTTTCGCAGCGAACGATTATTGATTATATCTAGACGACATATTATGTATTGAAAAAAGAGAAATAGATGGGTATAGAAAAAAATACATATTTAAGGGTTACTTATCTCTATTCTCCTTCGAAAAATAAATAATAGTTATAATCTATAATAGTCTAATATAATAGTCTAAAGATTCCGTTACAAACATACATACGTCTGAAGCTAATAAAAGCGTATTAAAAAGCGGAACTATTGCAACAGTGCAAATAATTAAAACATTTGCAAACGTTATATTGACGTAGTCAAGGCTAGGTGAAATGTCACTTCTGAATGGCGTACTATTTAATTTTCTAATATAGATTTTATTTCTTTGTGGTGGGCGGTGGTAATTCTTGTGTCCTACTAATGAGTAGGTAGTCCTCTAGCTACGCCTACGCAGCCTGCAATACTTTATAGTAAATTTGTGATGACAATCCAATTACATCGATCAGTTTAGTGATGTATGTGAAGTATTCCGAAGGCAGTTTATAACATAATATTCAAGGTTTTATATTTTTAAATCGTGATTAAGATAAAAAACGTCTTTCCTTAACAGTGGAAAGCGGTCGTGGACACGTGTTTAAAAAAATGCACTTGCTGCGATTCTTGATATAATTGCACCAGTTGTTATATCCTTTATGGTACTACGTATTTCTTCACTCGCCGCTGGGATAGAGTTTACCAGTCCTGAAATCATTTACATCCAATATAGCTTGTTTAATCTCCACTATGGCAGCTACTAATTTCTACAGAGTTTATTTCTTGGAGCGAAGCCTAAGATCTCCTAAGGCTTAAGTTAATTTCACAGGTCAAATAATCCTCCTGTTTCAGTTTTACTCCTCGTGACTGAGGTTCGTGATTACCTCCATCCATGAGTTTCTTTCTTACGATATTGTGCTATATCTTCCTCTTTTCGGCTACTCGGAGAGCATTGGAACCGAGGATGCTGAGATCGCCCCCGCGATCGATTCCCCTTAATGTTGCTAGTAATCGTCATCAGTTTTTCTAGATTGTCTCCGTATTTTCTAGCAATATATCCATGTGCCCAAAGTACCGTAGGATTCGCTCGAAAGAAAAGAGGTCAATAATAATACCATGCAAAAAACATAGATACAAAATCACAATGAAATTTTACATTAATTTGTTAATATTTATTTTTGTATTTAATTTAAAGTTATCATGAATCGCATCAAAATATTTTTGCTGAAATTACGCTATGTGTTTTTTTAAATTGATACGAAATTATTAAACAACTCATCCAAACAAGCTATTGTTTTAAAAAATTGGAAAAAAAACAGTTCACTAACCTTACCGGATTTGGGTTTTTCGCAGTGATCCTCTGAAGCCAAATCCTAAGTTGGCTAATCTAAACTAAAGCAAATACCAAAAAATATTGTGGCTACGTAATCGATATCATAAAAAGACCGGTCTTTGAAAATAAAAAAATCGTTGTCGGTAAAACATTACACAATACGAATGAGTTTAGAAATGCTTATCAACACGAGACTAAGAAAATTTGTACAAGACAAACGTCGGCTGTTCTGGCCTGTAATTAAGCCAATGCACACACGGCGTATCTGTTTATTGTAATTTAAAACAAAAAAAAAGTGCTAGTTCATACGAATAAGAGTTATATGTTGACAGTACGTGGGCGAATGGTTATAAGTACGTAAATTAATTTAAACGTGTTCCCACTCGCACTACCGGCAACCGCTGCAGGTGTGAGCAGGAAACTAAATTTTGGAGTGTAGTGTGAAGATTTCGGCTTATGTCAACACGCTTAATAATGCTCTGAGTAAATGCGTTTTTTGTTCTCTTAACACGAAACTCGGATTGTAATAGTAAATTTGGGATAAAAAAAAAACATATTTTCATTGTAAATCGCGAAAAGTTACTACACATTGGACACTTTTAAAGTGTTGATTTGAGCAATTCAATTTAATATATTAAGGAGCGGACGATTAGCGTGGTATGGACATGTGATGCGTAGAGAGAAGATGCAGGGGACTAGGAGATGTATGGAAATGGTAGTGCAAGGTAGAGGGGGAAGAGGTCGACCGAAGAAGACATGGATGGAGTGTGTGAATGACGATATGACAGAGTGAGTGTTGAAATGACGGCTGATAGAAGAGAATGGAAGAGAAAAATTAGCTGTGCCGACCCCACCTAGTGGAATAAGGTGGAGAAAAAGAAGAAGAACAATTTAATATATACGATAAGTATTATAATAAGTGTCTCATTAAAGTTGTTTTTGATTTGCTTTTATGTGCCCCAAAAATCCTTTTGATTTGACATTAATTACTGCCTGCTTTTGTTGTAAATATGAAAATCCAAATTATTTATTTAAGATTAATCTGTCTGATTAAGTAAGTAAATGTCACAGTCGATATTCAAAACTAAGCTGCTCTATGCTTAATTGGAGTTGGCGCAGTATCTAACCATCGATGGATAGCGAAGTTGAAAATAAAAAGAACGTTGTTTTACACTTCGAATGAACAATGATTTGGCGATGAAGTGTCGTGTAAGTAATTAACAGAATTCAACGTACACTGCTCATTTTTATATTGTTTGAATTGTAAATAACAATAACTAATTTAAATATTTTTGTGCTAGGTACATGCCTATTGGTATCAGCAGGTCAGTATATTGAGTTGTATGTGTTATAGTGACGTTAATCTGTATGCATCCGATGGTAAATGTCACTATCCTATCCTATCGCTGTCTTCATGGTATTTCTTGTTTTTTTTTTCGTCGGCTAGAATTGTCCCCCTTTCCTAGAAATGTTAAATTGTGTTACCCTTAGTTCTGAAAGTCGCAAATGTTGTTACGATTTTGTTTAAAATTCCGTTTTGTTATCTTGCGTGGATTACTAGTTCTCGTAAGGGAGAATTGGTGTTGGTTCCGCTAATTAAACGAATGGTGTTTAAGGAAATCTTTAACGGGACTGCGGGAAGTTCGGCTGTGACTCTGAGAATAAAATAAATTGATGATTATGTCACAAGAAGTACGTTGATGATCACATATTGAATTATATCATTAGTTTTTATTCCTGAAATTTTATTTCAAAATTAGGCATCGGCATTCCTATTGAGACATCTATAAGTTATAAAACTGCTTAAAACCATCTTGGGACGTGAACACTTGAAGAAAATATATATGACTGTGGAACTTGTGTTAGATTATAAATCGTCTTGCGCTTCTGGGTCGTTTTAGATGATTTTACAGATATATTTTCAAAAAGTCCGCTTTCTTATTCCATTTAAAAAAAAATACAATTTTAATAAAGAATAAAATCGTTTTAATATTTGCGATAACTTGACGGAACTTGATTTTAGTTACGCATCGTAACTTTGATGTTCATAACTTATTAACAAATTGTATTATACAAAAACCCCTATCGAAGTTATTTTAGAAATGAATTTTTCAAAATTTCTATATATAAAACCGATTGGCATTAAAGTTCGTGTCCATTTCTTAACAATAATATTGCAAAACATTAGCGTTAACGCGGTTCTTAATCTAATTAACATACACAATTACATTGTTAAACAATAGATAACTTTTGTCTTATTTTATCTTATCTTTTTAATGAGTACGGTGACCATCAGCTTCAGTCTGAACGGGACAGTCCCGAACGCATGAACCGTTTTTTATTTCGTATGTAGTTGCCTGGCTGACTGATGTAAGACGTCTTTTTCATTACTTATAAGTGTTAGTAGATTTGAAATTGTTGTATTAAAAATAAGGTAGTTTTAGTAAGATATAAATGTTGTACGAATTAAAAGTCTGCCTTGGTTTGCTCCACTGCTTGCGAACTGTGATAGTTTGCTTCATCTGAACACATGTATTTAATGTCATAGTGTATTTTAATAAAAACCAGTAGTAAAAAATACAGCAGTATAACACACATTAGTCTAAACTCAAGTAAGTATTAGCAAACCGCGTTCATACGCAATGTGGTCTCAATGTTTACTGTCATTTTAAAATCTTATGCATACAAATTTTATTCCTGCATAGGATCACCTATATTGTGGTCACCGTAATATGCCGGGACAACAAAGGCAGACTGCGGTGTATCAAAAGCTTAGTTATTGCCGTTTTAAATTGTATTAATATTTGAAAAACAATGTTTGTTATGTTTCGTTACTCGGTCAAAAATTGTTTTTAATGCATTAAGCATTAAGTCGACTTAAAAAAAATATATATTTCTGTTTTATTTATTCAGATTCGTTTGTTATCTTAGATTGTGTAGTTCATGTTTATTTGGATTAATTGCTAGGTAAAGGTTTTGAAATGGTCAAAAATAATACACTGAACACACTCATCTAGTTGTTTTCATTAGAATAAATAAATAAATGATATCTTCTTTCTATACTTATCTATACTAATATTTTATAGAGGAAAGATTTGTTTGTTTGTTTGTTTCGAATAGGCTCCGAAACTACTGGACCGATTTGAAAAATTCTTTTTCCATTAGAAGCCGACATTGTCCCTGATGAACATAGGCTACTATTTTTAATTATTTTTTTTTTTGGTTTGATGTTTCCGAAGCGAAGCGAGGGCGGGTCGCTAGTAATCTATACTAATATTATAAAGAGGAAAGATTTGTTTGTTTGTTTGTTTCGAATAGGCTCCGAAACTACTGGACTGATTTGAAAAATTCTTTTGCCATTAGAAGCCGACATTGTCCCTGATGAACATAGACTCCTTTTTTTAATTTTTTTTTTTTTTTTTTGGTTTCATTTGTGTTTTATTGTTTCCGAAGCGAAGTGAGGGCGGGTCGCTAGTTTTTATATATAACACGAACATGGTGTGTGCTAACTGTTCTCTATTTTTAAAAGCGAATAGTTTACTGTTTATCGTAAACGGAAAACTGTGTTTGTTTTTTCAAGGTAGGCTTGTCATTTTTGTAAGTTTACAGTTGATGACTCCGCATTTAAAGAAAAGATGGCTGACGCGTCATTCGAACCCGCGAATAACAACACTCATTTAATACGCATTGATTTGAAAAAAGAATGTTTTTAAAAATTGACTATGTTAAAATTTCAATATATTTATTCTTAAACTAATACGTTAAGCCTACTAATAAGTTACTTTAAACTAATTCAAAATTTCATGGCTTTTCAAGGCGATGACATCATGAGCGGCATAAAGCAAATAGAATCGTTGCCTTAAAAAAACCTTCATAGTATAGGCATAGTATTCCTTTCATTCTTTATCCTTTCAATTGAAATTAGAAAAGTGTTTTGAGGTTAACAATATTATCATAATAAAACTGACATTTGAATCGTACACAGGGTAAAAACATAGGCTAAAGTATATATTTGAATTAAGTCAATGATGACGTCATTTCAGGACAAAAAAAGGTCAATCTTATTTAAGAATATTGCTGACTAAAGATTATTTTTCATTAAAAATGAGTTTTTGTTATCAACTAACCTATTCTTCGAAATGGTTTTTCGATCAATTAAAATGGAAAAAAATGATCAATGCCCATCACGTCTGTTTGACTACGAATTTTGATTAATGTTAGCCGAAAATCAGTAGCACGGTCATAAGTATTCGATTTATTGAAGGATTCACTGACACGCGGTTCTTGTATAAGGATGTCCTTGAAGTCCGAGTATCTACTGGCACTTAATGAATGGGGCAATAAGACCAAAGATCGTTGGTTTCGATTTCCCAACCCAAAAGTCCCATGTTTTAAAGTCAGGCCTAAAGCATTTAACCTAAATTTTTAGTTCTGAGCTTCAGGCAGTTTTCGATTCCGGGGTCGCTTCCTCGCTTCTGCTAACGAGCTAGTTTCGTTCCCAAACACGCCGATCGATTAATTAGCCAGTACTGATTACTTAAATTTGCGAAACGTTCGAGTATTTAGCGACAGGTTGCCCAGTTCTGAGGAAAGCAATCTATTTTTTTACTGGTGGTAGGACCTCTTGTGAGTCCGCACGGGTAGGTACCAACACCCAGCCTATTTCTGCCGTGAAGCAGTAACGCGTTTCGGTTTGAAGGATGGGGCAACCGTTGTAACTATACTTGAGACCTTTAGAACTTATATCTCAAGGTAGGTGGCGCATTTACGTTGTAGATGTCTATGGGCTCTAGTAACCATTTAACAGGTGGACTGTAGCTCGTCCACCCATCTAAGCAATAAAAAGAATTATGTGAAATATGCGGAGTATTAATACAGTTTATTGAGTGTCTGATTTAAAATGATCTGCTACAAGCGTTTTCATAATAATCACAATGGCTTACTATGCTTCTGAAAGCGTGAAAGACACAGGTCTTAAATGTTTGCGACTAAGAAGTGTTGTAGGTGTCAACGTCTGCACAAGGTAAGTGCTGACAACTATACAAGATTATGCAATGGTCAATTTGTTCGTACAATGTTTGTTTTTCTGCTTAACCAGTAAGAAAAATGATTGATGTATGATTTAGAAAAAAAGAGGTTTTCCTTTGAAAATCGAATTTAATTCATTTAATTTTAAATTCTAAAATATTAATAATACTATTTATATTACTAAAAATAAAATTTACTATATTGTATCAGCCTATTAGTATCATACATAATAAATAATACTGATAGTAAATTTTAACTGAAAATTGACGTAATTGGAAATGTTTTCACGGACGTATACCGCTATATTATCATTATTGTTAATAATTCAAATTCGAAAGGTCTAAAGTGAATGTAACAAAAAAAATAACATTTCGTATTATACTATTAAGACTTAGTTTAGACAGGTAATATAAATGTCACGTCAACAACCCGCTGAACTTTACACCCGCCCTTTTCGCCTTATTGTGTAGTTATTCAATCCCTTGATTACTGCCTTCAACTGATTTTTCATAAAGTAATAAAATAGAAATATGTAAATCCACAAATCCGCTTGTAGAGAATATATCAATCGAAATATGTTCCATAACAGCCTAAAATTTAAGAAGTCAGTAAACCTTATAGTTTTTGGAAAAGCATCCGAAAGATTTTGCCGTTATTTAGTAAGCAATTAATTCGAAATGGTACATTTGGTGAATTCTTTTTTTTTTGTTGCTTAGGTGGGTAGACGAGCTCACAGTCCACCTGGTGTTAAGTGGTTACTGGAGCCCATAGACATCTACGACGTAAATGCGCCACCCACCTTGAGATATCAGTTCTAAGGTCTCAGTATAGTTACAACGGCTACCCCGCCCTTCAAACCGAAACGCATTACTGCTTCACGGCAGAAATAGGCAGGGCACCTACCCGTGCGGACTCACAAGAGGTCCTACCACCAGTATTTTGTTACTACTATAGTATTAAAGAAAATATTGCGCCTTAAAACGATAGTTCATATTTCGAAGACGTCAGTACACATTAAATAGTACGTTACCTACATAACATAAATCTACCCAATCGTGTCGTCATGGTATTATCGATCCAATTGCTCAGGTAACAAGGTGGATTGCAGAATCGAACTATTTTCGACAATTCGCTCACACATCATATTTTATCACGGCTGTAAGCGGCTTTTAAGATAGGAGGTCGATAGTACTTTAACATGCAATTTCGGTAATAGTTCTATTGGTCTTAAGTGTCATTTTTCTAGACTCTGGTACAGTGACGTTGCGATCATTTCGATTTGAGAGCAAATAATTTT